GTGCTGACGGTCACTCTGTATCCTCCTAGCTCTGACTGATACACTACAGGAGCTGTCCAGTGACGAGGGAGAGGAGGAGGACCCAGAGGATGTGAAGGTCAGGCCACCTGGATTTCTCTGAGAAAAACTGTTGCTTTCTTAGTTTTACTTTATTTGGATTAAATTAAGATACCAGAATTTCACAACATATATCTTAGATTAGTTACACAATGTCCTTGGGGAGAATTATGAGAGTCTCTTCCCCTCTGAGTCTTGAATTAAGACAGTGGGAGGAAATGACAGCACCAGCCACACATTGTGGGGCAGTGAGCTTTTACCTTACCAATTTTGTTCTCTCTTTGGAGCAAAATCACTTACTTGCCAACCAACACAGACTTGACAGGAAACACCCTCTGAGAAAAATTTGTGTCTTTAGTATGAGTCGATTTGCTCTGTTCTTTGGGATTCCTTTGAACTCTGGTTTTCATCTTGTTTTCTAATGTCACTAAGCAAACAAAAGTCCTGTGCTCACAGGACACAGCATGGTCTGATGCTCATAGCAATTTACTTTCTGTCATTACAGAAATCATCGGGAGTTCCACCGGAGGGTATGTATTGCGGAGCCCCTCTCATACTGATGAGTCACGCAGATGATGAGGAATGTGCCACTGCCTCGCTGGCTTTCCCGTAGACAGGCAGCCGGAGCTGAGCGTCCTCTCATGAATGAGGACCTAGGCTGTGATGGGAGAAATGATTTTTCTAGATAGGAAACAGTGGCCACATTCTGCAGCCGCTGGAAGTAACTGTGATCCCTGAAGGTGGGGTGGGATCCTGTGCACAGGGCCGGCTCATGTCTTTTGTGAATTCATGCGGTGCCACGGTCAGTGTGTCTGGGTGTGTGTGTTTGTGTTTCCGTACCACATATCCCCAGATTTACTAGTGTCCACATTCTCAACAGAGATTTCTGCCACCATTGCGGTCTTATTATAGTCACAGGAAAAAATGAACTTGTAAGCTTCCAGTGTGTGCAGTTTATTTCTTGCACAGGACACTTTAATTAACCTAAAAGAAATCCTGTCCACACCCAGGAAATTCTCACTGGGCACCCATAGAACAGAACTGTGTCAGGATCTCTGCTCATTTTATTTTTTCCTTCAGAATTCCCTGCTATACTTTATTTTCTAATAAACCTCACCTCTTCACAGGCCTTTCTATTTCCTCCTGCCTTTGGAGAGGTCATGACACCTCACTCTAGCCCCTTCCCTCCTTTACAAGCCTCTTCTACCAAAGCCCTCAGAAGTGACCCTCCACGACCCATCTTGAGCAGGGAGAGTGGGGGGCTCCTTCCTGTGCATTTACAGCCTGGTGCAGCCTCGTGCTACAGCCAGTTCTGCTGGGAAACTGAGAAGAGAGGAGGCTGCAGGTGGGGTTGGGGTGAAATCACCCCAGTTTTCTCCATTGAGGCCTCATGTTGACCATCAGATAATGTGGTTCAGAATAGATAATGCCAGGGTCATGTATGGTTTCAGCCTTGTATCCCTCAGCCTAGTCACGGTTTGTGTGTCCTCGGCTCAGAAACAGCAACATGTAAAGAGAACCAAGGGGTTTGCCCTAGGGTCTGAGAGGCAGGGTGAGCACTTGCCTTCCTAGCAGGATGGAGGGTGGCTCATGCATTACAGATGGGGAAAAACAAACTCAGCTGTGGTACCGCAGAGGCTCCATGATGTCCCCATTGAACCGACTGTTGACAAAGGTTGGTTGTTTGCTCCTGAAGGCTTTTGAAAAAAAAAAAAAAAAAGTGAATGCAGCTGGTTTTGGTGAATCGGAATATAAATGGAACCAAATTATACCTTGAGTTTTTTCTTGGAGTATGCATTTGGTGGAAACTTACTGTGTATAAATCAAATTTGATTGCTCTGTAGGTATCAATACTTATCCCACATTTTAAAACAATCAGGCTGTTGTGATTTTAAAATGTCCCTCACTAACCTCAGAAACTGTGTCCTCATAACCCAATTCCCCTAGTCATCTTTATTGTCTCGAATATAGTTTTTTGTGGCTACTCAGGGGGCTTTCTGCTGACTGATTAAAGGTACAAATCAGTGTTACCCACGTTGAGGTTCTAAGAATTCACAGACAGCTGCCCAGTGGGCTCTATGAGAGAGAGAGCAGGTACAGCCTTGGCCTGGGCCTGCAGAGGAACATGATTTGGAGGAGCAGAAGGAAGGCATGAGGGCAGCAGAGCCATGGGGAAGCCGAGGTGCAGCATCAGCAGAGTCAGTTCCACATCATCACCTGGGCGCGGCCCGAACGTTCACGCCTCATCTGAAGGAGGAGTTGAGCTCTGACTTCGTGGCTGGCCTGAACATTGCCCATCTTCCTAAAACCCTGGACAGAGGTGCTACTTTCTTGTTTGTTGTCTTCTCCATCTCCCTGTGTATTGATGGCAAAGGCACCACCAGGAATTAGTGAGAGACGGAGAACAGGAGTGAGTGCCTGAAATGTTCGACTTAGCCCAGAGAGAACATGATCAGCAGGGATGGACTGGAGGGTCAGGTCAGACACGGAG